CTTTCCTTCCCCTCCATCTGGAGTTCCCTCTTTAAGAAGAGGGACCACCTGGTTTAATAGGGTGCCCTGCCAGAATGGGAAGAGGAATAGGGCTTTACCCAGAATCTAGGAACCAGTTCACTGGAGTCTGGTTTTTCTGTGTCTGTGTCTGTAAAGAGCTCCAGGACCAGACATCTTTTGGGTGAGTGACCTTGTTGAAATGTGCTTGTGGCTAAAATTTTCTAATATCTCATCAGGTTGGTGGGTTAGAGGCCCCACTGATGAGATTTGGTTGCTGGATTAAAGTCACAAGGCTAGGATTGTGGGAGATAATATAAAGGTTACAGCCACTGAGGCACTTAATAGGATCTGGTTAGAGTCCCGAGCTCTGGGTTAGACTCCCAGAGTATCCTGGGTTAGAGTCCCAGAATATTGGACTTTGGTGTCTGTTCATGTTTGTCTGTGTCTGCCTGTTTTATTTGTTAAAATTGCCTGTTTGGAGATTGAGTTTCTTGGTGATCATAGCGAACTCTTTTTAGAAATTACCTTGTTTTTTGTGACCACCTTGGGAAAAGCCCCCTAAAATAGGGATAACTGTAAACAACTGGCAAGGTAACCTAGGATAATTTAAAATTACAGTGGCCATTTTGGGCTCTTTTTGAGCCTCCAAACCAAGGAACAAGGAAAAATCTTTTATCTTTAAAGAGTCAAGGGCTCCACCTTTCGAGCAAAAGTTTCCAGAAGTGGTACATATTTACAGAGAAAGGCAGAATCTTACCAAGCTTGTTTTTTGTCCTGAGCGTGGGCTTGGCTTGATAATTTGTCAGGTTGCAGGGAGGGTCCCAATATACGGTCAGACAAAAATATGGTTGTACCCCATTTTGTGGTCAGAGATAGTTGGACAGAAATGCAGGTTGTGATCCTGTTTATGGCTAACAGTCCTACCAAACTGCCATCAGCCTTAGGGGAATTACATTGGCCATTAGAAGAAAGCCTTGGCTGGGCATTCATTGTAAGGGTTTTGACTTCAGGGATGCTTGATATTTTCATGATCTAATTCTAGCTGCAGCATATACTTTTGACCAGCAATGTCTAAATTCTGAAACAATGAGAAATGCTAATTCGATCCCTACCTTTAACCCCTTAGGCTGCATTCTCCAGAATTGGGTGACTTTCAGCTACAAGTAAGTAGTAGGAGCTACTGAGTACTCGTTGGTTTATTGATCCTTCTCCTCCGAGAGATGGTTGCTATTTTTCCTTGTCTCTATTTTCCGTGTCATTTGTCATGAAGGCAAACCCATAGAGCAAGATGCAGTCATCTCCATAAGCCTATTGTCTGGGTGGACCCGCAGTAGCTTTGCCATAGGGCCCGCTTATGGAGTATGCACATAAGTTGGAAGCTATTGCTAAGGGCATCTTGGAAGCTAAAAGAGCTACAATATTAGTGGGTATGGGTTGGGCAGTTAAGAGCCATTAGGGTGCTCGCCACTTCAAGAAATCTCCTATGATAGGATAAGTTGGTCACCGTATGGGATAGATGATGACAGGTCCCTCCACCAACCTCAAGAAAATGCCTGTGCAATGATGAGGTATTCTGTAAAGCATACACAATCCCCAACCCTGCGTTACTTCCCCGCTAGGTATTAGTCTGGCTCCAAGAGACTCAAAGCATAGCTAAAGCTGTTAATGTGCGTATGAGAGTTTTTTTCTTTTGGTCTAGTGCTATATCTTGAGAAGTTTGGGTTTGTGATCTCTTTGGTCATGAGGGGGCCCAGCCCATCGGGGGCCTTTATCATCTCAACCTTTGTTATTTGTTAGTGCACTACTGCCTGTGCAGCAGAAGCCTTTGCTTTCTTGGGCTATTTTTGGGAGTAAACTTTCTGGATCTTGTGAGAGCTGCTCCTTTTGCACTTTCTTTTGGGGACGGCTCTCACATCCATAGTTAAGCCACAAATGCTTGTAGATATTGGCACACTAAAAATTGAAAAGGCAAATATGCCCCAGAAACTCCATCTTGGAGAAATCTTGAGTGGTTTCTCTGTGCCTTTGTAATGTAGTTGGACAGGTAGATCAACCTATAATGTCATCTGAGTTACAATCCAATTTCTGAGAAATTAAGAGCAATTGTCCTTAAAAAAAAAAAATCCTTGCAAGACTAGAAATGCAGCTCTAGGGGCAGTTCAGCCTCCATCCATTTCCCTTATCTCAAAGAGCTTGCAAATCCTCTGGGGAATATCTAGCCCATCACTAATTCCTAGGACTGAAGAAAAAAAAAATGGAAAAACGGCTATAAGAGTGCCCTCACCAAAAAGCTAGCATCTTGAGTTTCTTCTCCATAAATCTTAGTAAAAAGGCTTAAAACAAAATTTGGATTCATAATTAGGGAGGTTTGTACTTGATTCATGGCAGTAATTTTAAAACAATAGCTGTGCAGTCTCTGTGTATGCGTTTGTACATATATGTTGTAAATGTGAGATATTTTTCTACCTCTGGATGGTGTGACCAAAATTAAGAGCTCTATTGAAATTGGCTTAAAGTAAGTGCTTACATAAATTCTAAATGTAATAAAAATTAATTTCAAGTTAACATGATATAAATTAATCTTTGGTAAATGAAAGCTTTTTAAGTTTGTTGGTTTGATTAAAATAGGCATGTCCTCAGAGTTATCAGCACTGGATATGATGCAGACATGCAGCTTTTATTCTACATTTATTGGTCAAATAAGCTAATGTTATCTTTATTACAAAACTAGTTAACAAAAATAATAAAATAATAGCTTATTTTGTCTAATGTCTTGTGAAGTCTTGTAGGCAATCTAAATAATTATTGGGAACAAATAACCAAATAGATGTGAAAAAGATGAGTGTTGGATGAACTTATAACCATAATTATGTGTTATGGTGTATGTACTTAAAATAACGTCCATCTCCTTGGTAACTTGAAACTTTGAAGTTTTTCTAGGTTAAATTAAATTAAATGATGAAAATTCATTGAGTATTTAGATCATTTTCAAATAAGATAAGATAACACGGCCGGCCCCGTGGCTAAGTGGTTAAGTGTGCGCGCTCCACTGCTGGCGGCCCAGGGTTCGGATCCCGGGTGTACACCAACACACCGCTTCTCTGGCCATGCTGAGGCCGCGTCCCACATACAGCAACTAGAAGGATGTGCAACTATGACATACAACTATCTACTGGGGCTTTGGGGGAAAAATAAATAAATAAATAAAATTAAAAATAAAAGATAACAGACATTGATTGCTACATATAGGTTTATCTACTTTTGCCTTATTACAGAAAAACTAAAAGATGTTTTGGATCTATTGGTAAACATGTCCTGTGTATTTTTTTTTTTTTTGTGAGGAAAATCAGCCCTGAGCTAACATCCATGCCAAAACTCCTCTTCTTGCTGAGGAAGACTGGACCTGGGCTAACATCCATGCCCATCTTCTTCTGCTTTATATGGGATGCCACCACAGCATGGCCTGATAAGCAGTGCATCAGTGGGCACTCGGAATCTGAACCTCAGCTGCCAGCAGTGGAGAGTGCGCACTTAACTGCTATGCCACGGGGCCAGCCCCAAACATGTCCTGTGTTTTATTAAGATTGTACTATAAAGTAACATGTTTACAGAAATTGTGAAAAGTGTTTGTAGGTTGGTCAGGCCACAGAATACTAATGTAAAAGAAAGTTTATAACTGCTTACTTCTTAGTTTTTACTTAAAAATTAAGGTTTCTAAGGGTTAAAAATTCTAATATGTGATTAAAGCTACTAAAAATTAAGGAAATTTGTTTATATTCAAGGAAAGATGTATGTTTTCACTAAAGAATGTATAAAGAATGGAAATATTTTTGTTTGTTTTGTTAAGAAAGATAAATTTGTCCTAACATACTAGAAGGGAAGAAAGGAAGACAAATTCTGAATGTGAAAAGTAAGTGACAAAAAGTCTGTGAAAGTAAAACCCTGAGCAATTTTATGCCTGGTAAAGTTGGCTAAGATTAAACTAAATCCAATTAAGTAAATGAGTTTTAATGTCAAAAGTAAGCTGGTGCAAAATTAAAATTTGGTCTTCTTTCTCTCAAAAGGATAATTTTATTGAATTTTTTGTCTGCTCTTTTTTTTTTTTTTAAAGATTTTATTTATTTTTTATTTTTTCCCCCCAAAGCCACAGTAGTTAGTTGTATGTCATAGCTGCACATTCTTCTAGTTGCTGTATGTGGGATGCGGCCTCAGCATGGCCGGAGAAGTGGTGCGTCAGTGTGCGCCCGGGATCCGAACCCGGGCCGCCAGCAGCAGAGCGCAAGCACTTAACCACCAAGCCACGGGGCCGGCCCCTTGTCTGCTCTTGATAAAGAGGTTATAAAAGCTTTTTCTTTACCTTTGAGTAAGTCTACCTAAAAGGCGGAAAAACTATGTTTTGTTAAAATAATTTCTTGTGTTCAAAAAGACTGATGCCTCTCTATTAAGATTTTTTGACTGTTTTAACTCTTTGTTTGCCCTTGACTGTTTCTGTTGTCACTTTGATTGAATGGATAACTGAGCATTGTTTCACACTGAGCATTGTTTCCTACTTGATCAAGTGTTTTAAAACCTTTTGATATTTTTGACAAGCTTCCCCCTCTCCCCGCAAATATTCAAATCCTAAATGAAGTCTTTCTTTTGACCTGGAAGAAGAAAAAAAACTTTTTTGCCTTTGAGAATTTTCAGAGAGTCCCTGGGGCTTCTCAAAGAAATTTGCTCTCTCTTCCTATAAGGAGGAAGATACTAAACTTATTAGGCTTATTTGATATGTTAAATTATATAGGAAGCATTGTCAAATAAGTGATGATAAACCATCTTAGGTGGAATTATGTGAGTAAATGATATCGATATAAATGTTTTAAAAATTGTATAACATTCCTAAAATTCTATTCTGTCCTGCTTATCAGTCATAATTCTGGTTATTATTTTAAAGTGTTGTATGTCACAAAATTAACCAAATTTCTTTGTCAACTGCCATTTTGGGGTCTTGTTGTTTGCAGGCAGTTATTGTTTTACTCTGATGCTTTTGCAAAATATGTTTCATCTTCAGAGAAATTCATGAAGAGGGCTCTGATGCTTGTTCTAGAGTACAGACTTTTGATAAACTTTCTGATTATAAAACTGAACTGGGTAAGAAATTACAGAACTCTAAGAGAGAAACTGATGACCTCATGAAACTGCTAACAGAAGATTAAGATCAAGAATTGATAGAATTGATTACACAGGACTGAATGAACTGATGAGGATGATTATAATTTTTATGATTTTTCAGTAGAAATATTGCTGATTTTTTTAATGTTTTTTTTTTTCCAGATTTAAGGAAATCTTTTTCTCTTTTCTCTCAAGCTAACTGTGACTTATAGCAATTTGGTAAATTATACCTTTGTAAGCAGAATTGAAACATTTATTTTTTTCTCCCTACCTGGTCCCTCTAGAACTTGGAAACTCTTGGTGAGTGAGTATTGTTTTCATGGCAATATAGTTATTTGCATGAATTCAATAGAATCTGGTCTCCTTGTAACAGGACACAATTGGAAACATTGGCTTTATTACCAAAGCTTTGACTGGAATGTCATATTTGAGAGAAACATACAGAATCAGATATGACAAGACGGCTTTTGAGGAATAAAGGTTGACTTTCTGGAATAAAACCACTTGGAAATATTGGCCTGATACCTTGTTTACAGGGTTCCCAGCAACCTTACATGGTAAGTAAGGAAGGTCACTTATCTGGCAGGTGTAAGGAGCCTCAATATTTTGAGGAACCTCAAAACAAGAGAGGAATTCACCCAAATCTGTAGGTATTTCAGGCTAAGTCTGGTGACAAAGTCCTTGGCCTGGCTTTCCTGGCCTTGAGAGGCCTGTAAAGTTCAATCTGATATTCCTTATAAAAAGTTCCAGCAAAGCAGATTCAAAAGAGCCTATAAAATCACTTGCTATTCTTGCTGTACTAATGTAAATAATTGGGCCAAGTTTACTGAAACTAGACTTATTTTGCAAACTACTGAGTCTTAATTTGGCTATCTTTTGTAAAAATGAGGGTGATTTTTAGAGAGAAAAAGTATGTTTCAATAGAAACTATAGTACACATTCATGGATATTAGATTCTAGTTCTATTAATTGTCTTTGAGGTTTGTGTTTTATATCTGTTAACTAGACTGGGTCTTGAATTCTTCTAGTCTCCTGAAATATCTGGCTGCAAATCTCCAAACTAAAGTTTTCAATTTTTTCCATCATTTTCATTTGGAATCATTGAGAACTGAACCTGTCCTTTCTCCTGAAGCCTTGCAAACTGGAGCTGGTGGACTTGATATAAACTGAAGAGATTCATATCTGGTGCTGTGTAAGTCACTCAGAAAGATATCTGAATACCTGATGACATCATCAGAGACATTTCAAACTGCAAAAGATGCTTCAACTCTGGCATTTAGAAATCTTTTTGACTGGCTGCCCTCTGGACTCAGAAACTGGTTTATAATTTGCTCCCACCATTAACCTTGTTTTTCTTTTTGTCTTATTATATACTCGGTTACTCTCTTACACAATATAGGCCTAACCTTAGAAGCCCACCTGCATCACCATCTTACTAAGGGACTGGTTCAATGAGATGGAACAAGCTATGCCCCTCATCAACAGGATATCCCTCAAGATTGAGGATAAACAACAAAAGGGGCAGGAATTGATACTGGCTTGATACAAGGTTGACATAAGGGAAGCCATATTGTAGAAAAGAAACCATATGGTAACTTTGAATGACCTCTCATTCACTGACATGCTCTGTAGATTTTAGGGCCCCTCCCAGCTGCAATAAGTTGATAACTTTGTTCTTTTGAGTTCCTTAGGAATGTGTTGACCCCTGGGTGGAGAGTCTATGCTGGTAGCCATCAACAATGACTACTAAAAGATCAGGGTATAGGGCATTGCTCCAGTCTCTGGTGCATATCCAGTAAAACAAAAGACTATCAGGAACTAAGACAAGATGTCTGCCTCCACTCAGAGATCAGATGGATGCCCCCACCCTGAGACCAGGTGCCTCCCCCACCTGGAAACCAGCCCCCTATGTAATTGACCTGTAGTCTTTGTTCTGTAAGATGGTTCTTTTGGACATTAGTTGGCCATCTTCCCACTTGCTAGCAAGCTGTAATAAACTGCCCTTTCTCTGCCACCATCTTGCCATTTGACAATTGGCTTCTGTATCACGGCAAGCAGATTGTGCCCTTTGTATGGTAACAATTCCAACTGTATGGCATTCTGGAAAAGGCAAAATTGTGGAGATGGTAAAAATATCAGTGTTTGCCAGGGGTTAGTGGGAGGGAGGGATGAACGGTGGAGCAATTTAAGGACTTTTAAGGCAGTGAAACTACTCTGTATGATACTATACTGATGGATACATTTGTCCAAACCCATAGAATGTACAACACCAAGAATGAACCCTGAAGTAAATTGTGGACTTGGGGGGTGATAATGATCTATTAGTGTAGGCTCATCGATTGTAACAAACGTACCACTTTGGTGTAGAATTGTTTTTGTGTGCTAGGGCTGCCATAACAAAATTCCACAGACGGGGTGGCTGAAATAACAGAAATGTATTTTCTCGCAGTTCTGGAGGCTAGAAGTCCAAGATCATGGTGTCAGCAGGATTGATTTCTCCTGAGGCCTGTCCTTGGCTTGCAGATGGCTGTCTTCTCTCTGTGTTCTCACAAGGTCTTTTCTCTGTGCGAGTGCATCCCTGGTATCTCTATGTGTATCCAAATTTCCTCTTCTTATAAGGACATCAGTCAGACTGGATTAGGGCTCACCCATATGACCTCATTTAACCTTAATCACCTCTCAATAACCCTCTCTCCAAATACAGTCACATTCTATGGTACTGGGGGCTAGAACTTCAACATATGAATTTGGGAGGACACAGTTCAGTCCATAACAAGGATGCTGATAGTGGGGGAAGCTGAGTGTGTGTGGGATCAGGGGGTAAATGGAAACTCTCTGTGCTTTCCACTTAATTTTGCTAAACCTAAAACTACTCTAAAAAATAAAATCTATTAAAAAAAAGGCTTCAGAACTCTGAACTCATGGGTGTTTTTACTCATGTACCAAAGGTACAATAATACCCTTCATTCATCCAACAAATGTTTATTGACTACTTAAATGTGCCTGGTACTGTTCTAGGCACTGGGGGATATAGCAGTGAACAAAACAGACAAAAATCCCTGTATTGTTGGAATTTACTTTCTAAAAGAGAAGGATAGACAATAAACAAGATAACTAAGAAAAAAAAAGCATGTTAGATTGTGATAAAAACTATCAAATCAAATGGAATGTCCAAGGGAGGCAATAGCGGAGGCTTTGTTCCAAAGGCAGCAAATAAGTGTGCTCAGAGAACTCTGCTCTAAGCTCATTGATCAGGGAGGTATCGACAGATTTAAATGAACATGTCTTCCTACTGAATGGAGTGGCTCTGAAGTGCCACATGGAACACTAAACCTCCTTCTCAAGTTTCCTAGATGTTTTTATTAGCACTTTCTCTAATATCCTTTGCACATGGTTGGATCTTTATTGAAAATCAGTTGATGGAAAAGCCAAAATAAGGATTAGGCACCTCTTTTTGTAGGTGGCTGCTGAGCTTGGAGGTTTAAAAAAAAAATTCATATTGATCATTTTAGAGTCAAAGTCAGTAAGAATATACCTGTATGTGTTTATGTATATGTGTGTGTGTGGGGGGGGTGGCGGGTGGGGGGCTGCATCCCTGTGGGATTAGGATGGAATCTCTTAATCTTCTTTGGTCTCAGTGAACAAAATGGCAATCACACTATTGTTTGCAGACAGACTTGAAACTTCTGTGGGAGTTGGCAGTAGAGAATGTGTCAAAGTCCTCCCTGGGTGATAAAAGCAGTTGCATTACTGAGAGACAGTTCTAATGTACAGATGCTTCTAGCCCCTACTGACCTTGTGCTCCTTTCCACTAGTTGATTATGACAAATGACCACACAAGATGGATCATCTGAGTTAAAGAAATGAAGAACAGTAAATATGACAGTACCAGCGTTGTGAAACCATGTGGATGAAGAGGTTTGGGGCACATAACCCAGAAAAATGGACCCTTGGTAATGCAAGGTACAATACTGTTCAAAGACAAGACATAGGAGTTGAAGCAGGGAAGCTGATGCTTTAAAAGCTAATGCAGGAAGACTTTGAGTTTCCAGTCTAACACGTAAGGAGCTTAGAAGTCATCACTCTACCCTAACAACAAGCAAAAACCTGAACAAACTAAAAAGTCGATAACTCTTCTTAGGTCCACTAGAAAAGTGAGGTCACAGGACAAACTGCTGCCCTCCAAATTGGACAGATAGGCAGATGCAGAGAATCACAATATACCAGAGAAGAAATCCACCTCCATGGGAACCAGTACTGGGTCAGGAAAATCTGAATTGTCATTGATGAATTTCTGGAGGCTCAGTGTTGACAAGTCTGAGATACAGAAACTCCAGGTGGGGGGAGGGTGGACCTCACACTTTCATGAGTTTTATCTCCAAGAACTCTACCAGGTTCTCACAGTGAAGATTAGAGAAAAATCCTCTCAGCATCTGGCAGGGAAGGGGAAAAGTAGCCCTTTTAAAATACCCCAGAGCAGGCTGGCCTGGTGGCTGGCAGTTTGCAGGTTTGGATCCTGGGTGTGGACCTATGCACCACATATCAAGCCATGCTGTGGTAGGTGTCCCATACATAAAGTAGACTAAGATGGGCATGGATATCAGCCCAGGGCCAATCTTCCTCAGCAAAAAGAGGAGGATTGGCAACAGACGTTAGCTCAGGGCTAATCTTCCTCACCAAAAAAAAAAAAATACCCCAGAGCATTCTGTTCTTAACAAAGTACACCCCCCAAGTGAAACGATTTATCAGAGCCTAACCTACTGGAGTTTTATCAGATTCTAACCAATTCAGCAGAAGGGAACTATCCAACTCCAGCATGCTCTAGCCTTCCATGTCAGGAAAGAGAAATACCCAATTCCA